GGGGGGGCATCACCTCATCGCAGGTGTCTGCGGAACCCCCCTGGGCCAGGAACTTCTCAATGACATTCATCTTCCCCTCCACCGATGCTTTCAGGAACGTCTCCTCATCCACGGGGCCACTCTGCCGGGCGACAGGCCGGTCTGTGCGGGCTGCCCCCCAGGGACCCGGGGCCCACCCCGGCTCTGCCTGACCCCCCAGGACCCTCACAATCTCCTCGGGCTCCGGAGGCGGCTCCGGGGTGGCGGTCAGGGCTTCCCGCTTCTTCTGCTTCCTCTTTTTGCGCAGTTCGATGAGGTTCTGGATACCGCCCACGTCAATGATCTCCCTCCGCAGGTCCAGCGACGTCTTGCGCACCCGCTCCTGGCCCTGCGCGGGAAGGCAAGGCCCATCAGCACCCACACGGGGGTGGGGTGGGGGGTGCTGCAGAGAGGTCTCCTCCAGGAGCACCTGCCCGGGCTGGGGGCACAAGGGCAGACAGCGGGAGGTGGGGGATGTGACGAAGTCTCACTTCTCAGCTTTCCACCATCCGTTTTTGTTTTCTTTTTCTTTTTCAAAATGAAAATAATTGTGTGTGTGTGTGTGTGTGTGTGTGTACATGTGTGTGCGAGTGTGATCACAGAAGTAATACAAGACCACTAGAAAGAAAGTAAGAGGGACGCTGGTGGAGGGCATAGTGGTTAAGCACTGGCTGCTTAACCACAAGGCCAGCAGTTCAAAACCACCAGACATTCGGTGGGAGAAAGAGGAGGCTTTCTACTCCCATAAAGAATTTCAGTCTTAAAAGAAAGAAGAAAATGCTTTAGAAATGAAGGTGGTAACTGTATGACTCTTCTTGATACGACTGAATTCTTGAATTGTGGATGAAGTGCTCCTAAAAGTTTTAGTGAATGAATGAATGAATGAATGAATGCAAGCGTTTCCGTCTCGGAAACCTATCCCGTCCTATAAGGCTGCTGCAAGTTGGGATCAACGCGATGGCAGCGAGTATACAAAAATCAGAGCAACACAGATGGCTCAAAGGTAAGACGATGGGGCTGGTCTCCTTCCAGAGCTATCTGCTGCCGGGCCGCTTACAGCTCTAGCCCTCTGACTGTCCCGAGGGCAGCGGTTCTCAACCTGTGGGTCTCGACCCCTTTGGGAGTTGAACGACCCTTTCACAGGGGTCGGCCTGAGACCATCGGAAAACACATTTCTGATGGTTTTAGGAACCGAAACACTGCTCCTCTATCCGTTTCCGGGCAGGTCTGCCCACAGGCAGATACACCCACATACGAGCACTGGCATGAAGACTGTTACCCATGCTATACCATGCTTCAAGACAAAATTTCATTGATTTGTCATTAGAAATAAATATTTCACAATCTATAATGACATATGATTTTTGTGATGAATCACTATGCTTTAATGATGTTCAATTTGTAACAGTGAAAGTATATCCTGCCTATCAGATATTGACATGGCGATTTGCAACATGACAGTTCCCACTGCCTAGGGGAATATGCTTCTCATCCTCTCTGCTTCCGCTGCTCTGACGCAGCTCTGACTCCGCAGGCCTGAGGGGTGGCATTTTCTGAGAAGCCTCAGGCTCGCACGTGCGGTAGGAGGCCATATTGCCTGGCCGGCCCCCTGAGCTGGACACTGGGTCCCCCTGCTTACCTTGACCTTTTGTACAGCCGGACTCTGAGCCCCATGGTGCTTCTCATTCTCCAACACCAGCAAGTCCATGGGCAGCTTCTGGGGGGCGGCTCCTTGGGCCTTCTGGTGAGTGAAGGAGATGACATGCCCAGGAACGGCCTGCCACCCCGGGGACGGGCACCTTTCCCCTGCCCACCCCCACCCCAAGTAGCCCCAGGGATGCCAGGCTTGAGTCCAAGCCACCGGTGACCTCAGAGCCTTTTGTCTGCTCACTCCTGAACAATCCTAAGGGGCCCTGGAGGGGACCCTGGAAAGGGAAAAGCTTCCCAGCTCCCCACCTTCACCCAAACCCCATTCTCAGTTCAAACCCATGCCCGCCAACTGTGCTGTGGGCGCCCAGGCCTAAGCAAGAGGAAGGGCAACCGGAGTGAGTTCTCAGGAGATTGAGTAGATGCACGTTTTCAAACACTGAGATGAAGCTTGCTTTACTTCACAGAGTGATTATTAAGAGGGATGGTTTGATTTTTTTTTTTATGGCTTTGCTAGGCAATATAACAATTTGGCAAATCTGTGTCAGTGTCTCTCTCTTTGTCTCTCTCTCTCTCAGATTTTACTGAAGTGTGAAATCTAACGGCTAGGAAACTATCTCCTGAAGAGAAAGGGAGGGAGGGAAGGAAGAGCTCTTCCGGTTGCCTCGGATGTGTACTTAGTGTTAACCTGAATCTCCTGGTGATAACCTGGGTTACGCTCCTTCCACCTCTCTGTCCGTCTGACTGCATTTCCTGGGCTACTTCCTCTTGGTCATCCCTCCTCCGGGAGAGATGGCTCTTTGGAAAGGGCTGGAGCCCCACTTCTACAGCCCCCTGCATGCTGCTTCACGGCCTGAGCCCAGACCTGGAAGGGGCAGAATCAAGATAGCAGCTGGGGGAAGGACCTCCTTCTCGGAGTGCTCAGTTATCCGCGTGTCAGCCTCCTCAGGGCGGGTGACACCCTACAGCGGACCTCCCAGACCTGCATTTTGAGGGTTCTGCTGTCCACTGCCTTCTCCCTTCCACATCTGGTTTCCAGGAGGGGCCTGACCTGAAATCCTGCCTCTTCTTTCAGGGTCAAAGAATGACCTGGGGCAGTGACTACAGCTGCAGGAGGTCGGGGCTGACCCCAGTAAGACTCCTGGTGGAGCATATCTATCATGGGATCCCTCGTACCCACGGCAGGGCCTCACGTACCCGCGGCAGGGCCTCACGTACCCGCGGCAGGGCCTCACGTACCCGCGGCAGGGCCTCACGTACCCACGGCAGGGCCTCACGTACCCACGGCAGGGCCTCACGTACCCCCGGCAGGGCCTCACCCGCAGTAGGCACTCTGAGAATGTTGAGCAGGAGCTCAGCATCTCTGCCCACCTGTTGAGCGGTCCTCAGTGGTGACCTGACTCGGTGAGTGCTCCACAATAGCGGGCTGACCTCCAGCACCTTGCTCCTCCCCCAACATGCCACATGCCGGACAGACCGTGATACCCCTTTCCTGGAGCCCTGCTGGACAAGGTGGGGCCTGGTGGGAACAACCGGATGCCCTGATACCCACTCACATCCTCCTGGGACTCTTGTCACCCATCACCTCCCATTAGTCTTTGTAAGCCAGCACCCGCTGGGTGCTCCCTCCATCAGTGTATACTTCCAGGAACGGCATCCGAGAAAACCCAGTGGAGGGAAATGCCCAACCCCTATTTCCTCACTGGTTATTCAGACTAAAGGAGGCTACAGGGACTACAAACACATACCGCCCAGGGCCTGGCACATCGCAGGGAGTCAGAGGGAGGCTGACCCCGTGGGCCCCTTGGATCTGCTGGGTGAATGAACATGTGAGGACTCTCGGCCTGGTGGGTCCCTGGCTGAGTGCTGTGTCCTGGGGCAGCACTCCAGCAGTGACTCACCCACCTGAGGCCACCACCTGCAATGCACAGGCCCTAAGGGAGCCAGAGAGGATTCCTGGGAAGCCAGGGATGCCTCCCCAGCAAGCTCAGGCCAAGACCTTCCTGATAAACCTGCCCTCCTGGCCAGTGTTCCCTGTTCCCCGCTGCCTGATGCTCCCGCCTCCTCACCAGCCCTCACCTCACACAGCCCCAGCATGAAGGGAGTCTCTCTCTAGATGGACTGATGCCCTCCCATTCTGTTAGGACCAGGCTTGCCCTCTCCAACATGTCTGTCTCGGGGGTGTCAGGGCCACCTTTCCTAAAACACGTCCGATGACCCCGCGCTCCCTCCCTCGACAACATATAGTGGCTCCCTGCTGCCCGCAGAGTAGACCTTCTTTGACTGGGCTCTCTGGTTGGTCCCTGCCTCTTTTCCCAGCCGCCATTTCTCACTCCCCACCACCCTGATCCTGATCCTGGTCTCCACGTACCCTCTGTTCTTCAAGGCCTGGCTCAACACCCTCCTCTCCCCAGAGCAGCCCCCACCCGTGTGCTTCTCCACTTCAGATGTAACGATTTCTCCCCTCGGCCTTGTTTCTGAGGGACCCTGTATCTGATCAGGGTGGCTGGTTAAGATGAAGGCGGGGCTGGTCAAAAGGCAGTGGGTTCAGGGCCTGCTGACCCTCCCACTCTGCACAATACCCTGGGCAGAGCAGACACCAGGGGAATCACTTAAATAGAATGAAAAGATGTTGGGCCCCCAGACTCCCGAGACTCTATCCCAGGGCCTTGGGCCACAGGGCTGTGTCTGGTGGTCCTGGGAATTGCCCACTTTCTCAGCACCCCTCTGCTCCCCCATCTGTATGAGGGGGCTTCAAAAAGTACACGGGAAAATGGAATCACAAGGTAATGGAATTTTTCCAAGCACTTCTCAAAGTTCCCCGTATTCTTCAAGTGGACCAAACACTGGCCTCTCTCTCATTCTCCCCTCCCACACAGCAGCTGGGGTATCTCTGAGGCCAGCTCCCCGCATCCTCAGATGGGTGCTCCAGCTGCTCCACCCTTGGGGGCTCCCCACCTCCACCCCACAGCCCCTCAGGTCTTGGGGCTGCAGCCTGAGATCATCCTGGAGCAGGAATCTCGGGGACACCTGCCCCCCCCCTCCCATTACTGCAGGAGCTCTCCCCTCCCTCACAGCAGAGCTGAGTCTCCCTGGGCACCCCCGGCCACCACTGCCCGCACCTTGCTCCCCTCCTCCTGTGCCAGCCGCTCCTCGATGAGCGCGGTGGCCCTCTGCACCGCCTCGCAGTCCGTCATTGTGCCCTCCAAAGCTGTCTGCGGGCCAGGGAGCTGCGGGGGCTTTATAGGGCAGAGCACCCACCCCCGCCTGGCTGGGCGCCTGTGGCATGAGCTCACTGGCCCAATTCTCCACCTGCCTCCCCCACCTGTCACCTTCACCCGGGTCAGCCCCAGGGAGCGAAGGGGGGTGGGGAGGTGCGTGCAGGCTGGGTACCAGGGACAGCTGTCTCCACTTACCCATGGCCTATTGGAGCAGGAGGGCCCAGAACCCCAAGATTAGAGAGAGGCAGAGGGAGGGAGCCTGCCCAGCTTCTGTCGTATGAGCTAGGGTTGACTGGACCTCAACCAGGACCCTGGGTGGTCAGAGGCCTGCTGGCTGAGATGGCAGTGCCACCTTCTGGGTGCCTGAGAACTGACCAAAGCCCAAAGGAAGTCTAGGAGCAGCCCAAATAGCATAGTGGTTCCTCATTGGGCTACTAACTGTAAAGTCAGTGGTTCAAAACCACCAACTGCTCTGTGGGAGAAAGATGACATTTTCTATGCCTATCAAGAGTTGGAAACCCATGGGGGCAATTCTATCCTATTATTTGGATCATTGTGAGTTGGCACTGACTTGATGGCAGTCCAGAGGCAGGTCTGCACCCCCAGGCTATTGAGCAGGTAGGCCCTCCTGGTTCTTTGGGCCGGGGGGCCAGGTGGGGTGCAGACTCTGCCTTGCCTGGGTCCCAATGGGCAGAGCAAGAGAGGGGAGCAAGGGCAGCCGCCTCCCTCAGCCTGCAGATGCAGCTGGTGTGTTTCTGGGTCCCATAGTGCCCCCTGGTGGAGCACTCGGCATAAGGCTGTGATTCAGACTGGGAGCCCGCACTGGTCCTTTAACACAGCCAGCCGCTGGGCAGTGTGAACCCCTGGCCTGTGGCTGGTGGCCAGGTGCTTACGCCTTTTGCCAGAAGGCTCCTCGTGCGTTCACTCACCGTCATGGAGTCAACCCCAACTCGCAGGGACTCTCTAGAGGGCAGAGCGGAACTGCCCCGGTGGGTTTCCCAGACGGTCCACCAGTGCTTCCCAAAGTGGGCACTGCCGTCCCGTGGAAGGGGCTGGAGCACACTGACCCTGGATCAGGGTGCTGAGTTATTTGTTTTCTGAAAAGTGGGTGATAGAGGGCAGATCACTTTGGGAACCTATGCTGTAGATCTTTATGGGGGTGGAAAGCAAGCCTCATCTTTCTCTCGTGGTGGAAACTCATTCACCTGCCTCCCCCCCAGTCACTGCCTCAGGGCAAGTGCTCAGGGGACTCCTTGGGCTTACGGAAGAGCCTGAAAGGGCAGCCTGCAGCCCAGCCCCTCTGGGATGCCCGCTTCAGACCGTCCGGCCCTCCTGTGGGCCCCACAAGGGCCAGGGCTGGGCGGGTCTGCAGGCACACAGAGAGGCCGGAGGGAAAGTCGGGCCAGTGTGCTTGGGTGCACACCTGGAACTTCCAGGTGCTTGTGACCCAGCTTTACCTGTTCACCCAAGGGAGGCAGCCCGTGGCTCTGTACTCAAACTGCCTGTTCTCAGACAAACCACCTTTTCTTAGATTCCCCTCTTTTTAGGGACACATTTTCTTATGGAAACGTCGAGGTCGGGCTGCTCTCTCTGGACAGCCCACAAGGCAGTCTGACCTGTCAGTTTGCTTAAAAATGTCACCACAGGCACACAGCCCTCGGGGCTGGCCCCTCCTGTGGCAGGAGCAGGTCAGCAGGTACTGAGGGCACTGCCTTTGCTTTCCAAGTGCTTCCCTCCTGTCCATGTGCCCCTGTCTCCATTTAAGGGCCGCCCCCCCCCCCCCAGCCACTGTCAGCAGTCCTGGTGACATCATCCCCACTTCAGATGGTGCTGGGTCCAGAGGCTAAGTGCTTCTCCTGCGGGGAGGTCAGACCAAGTGGAGAGGCCAGCAGTTCAAGGCTCGCTCCACAGTGCCCAGAGCAACCGGAGGCAGCACCATCAACCACTCCCCAGCCCCCAATCTCCCCTCATCCCTGAACTGCTCCTGGGGACCGGGCCCTGGTGCTGGAGGGCCATAGGGCCGCAGGAGAATGCAAACTCAAATGGCAGGCCAGAGAGAAGGAGCAAAAGGCTTTATTGATAAATATGCAGATAACGTCTGTACACAGGGACCTGCTGTGGGGCCCCGACCAGGCTGCAGAGCCCTCCTGTGCAGTCCCTGCCACAACAGCCCAGCCGTCTGCGGCTGCTGCTTCCTCTCTGCCAATTGTGCTGGGGGCAGGGAGAGGCAGAGGCCCGCCTCCGATCCCCAGCGCCCTGGGCCCTGTAGCGGTCCCCTCCCCTCCAGGGGACTGGCACTGTGCCCGGGCAAGGGTAGGGGGTGGGAGACAGCAGCTGCTTCAGACCCTGAGCAGAAAACCGGAGGGAGCACAGCTGAGAGCACCAGGGGCAGGCCTGTGCTCGGGGCTCTAGCCTGCCCTCAGGGCTCGAAACTGCCTTGGGAGAGGGGTAGGGGGAGGCCCCCGGCCACCTCTTCTCCGATGACATGGTCGGCAAGGCCTGTGTGTGGCAGCTCTGCTTCCTGGCGCCGGGCGCTGGGTGGCCCGCATGCCCCTGGGAGGCAGGGCTCCTTCCCAGCTTGCCTGGCACCCATCCGGCAGGGAGGAACAGCGCTGGAAGGCAGCAGTGGGGTGGGGGGTGGGGGCCGGGAGCTCTCTCCCCGGGGGTCCTCAGGGGCCCATCAGTCCTGGGGCGGCGGGGGCTGGTTGATGATGACCTGGATGACAAAATCCTTCTGGATCTTGGTTTCCTGGAGCCGCATGCGGTCAGTGAGCAGCTTCCCGGAGAAGAACCATCGTTGCCAGGACGGCTCGAAGCCCTCCTGGGTGTGTAGCTGCCTCTTGAGCTGGCCCACCGTGTCCGGCAGGCTGGCGCTGAGCCGCACGTCCTTGCCGGTGGAGAGGCGCACCTTGAGGGGGAACTCGCGGCGCACGCTGGGCGTGGGCTCAGGGGGCTCCGTGCTCTCCTCCTCCGTGTGCTCCAGCAGCAGGTTCACGGGCGGGGACAGGCAGTAGACGGGCAGCTGGTAGCGGTTGCCCAGCTCGTCGTAGCATTCACATAGGGTGCCTGCGGGAGCAACGGGGCCGTCCGAGTCCGATCGGGGACTGTCCCCAAGCCCACCCCACCTTCAGGCCTCCCAGGGAGCCCCTCATGACTGGAACAGTGCAGATCTGGGGCCAGGAAAACCGGGGCCTCCACCTTGGGGCTCTCCTCCAACCCCCACCAGCGTTTCCAAACCAATTTGTTCGGTCAACCACGCCCCCCCCTGAGTCTGTGCTGGGGCGGGGGATGCTGCTTTCCACCCTTGTGGCTGTGTGAGGCCAGCCGCTGTCTGGTTCACTCTGGATCAGCGGTCTCAGAGACCACCCGTCTTTCCAAGGGCAGGACCACACACCGCAGGGTCTGCAAGGCCTTGACCTCTGTAAGCAGACTGCCAGGCCTCTCTTCCTGGGAGCCCGTGGTAGCGAGTGGTCAGGGCCTTCACCAGGTGCCAGCCAAGAAGCCCTAGGCACGTGGTGGCTGTGCTCATTGGTCAGGGAGTGTGGAGTTCGGGGAGCCATCCAATGACTGGCCCCACTTCAGTGGGTCTTGGGTTCCTGACTTGTGGCCTGGGTCCTGGATGCTCACTTAGTCTACATCCTGCTGGAGCCTGCCAACCCTCCTGGGAGGGAGGCCTTCCCGCTTCACAGGGGGAGCCGCTGAGGACCCAGTTCAAGGTCCCATATGCGCTCTCTTTTCTACACCCTGGAAGCTTAAATCAGACCCTGTGACAGAGGCAGGCTTCTAGCTCCCATGGCCGGCACAGAGAACACACCCAGCCGGGAGGCAGGGAGCCTGGACGTTCTGAGCCCATCTCTAGGGCTGGCTCCTCTGTGGGCTTTCTGGCCACTCACAGGGCAAGGGGGGCTGGTGGGTTTGAACCGCTGGCTTTTTGGTGAACAGTTAGGTGCTAATCACTGTGCTGCCAGAGCTCCTCATGCCCCTTGACTGGTCAGCTTCTTGCCCCCCACGGGCAAGCTTGGCTGGACACGTCTGCTCCTGGCAACTGGCTTCCCATCACCCCCTAGAGGCCGCAGGGCCCACCCGCTGGCTCACCATGCGGCAGGGTGATGCTGGCCCCATCCAGGATGGCCTGGGCCAGCTCATGGTCGTTGGCCTCGGCGGCATAGGCAGCAGCCTTGAGGGCGTCCCAGATCTCCTTGCGGCCCTCGAAGGCGGGTGCTGTGTCCCAGAACTCGTCCCGCTTGCTGCGTAGCTGCCCGTCGGTCATGGGGTAGTCACTTTTCCACTTGGGCCGCTCCTTCTTCAGGGGCTCGTTGCGTCCTGGGTGGGTGGGGAGGAGGGGAAGCTCAGCAGCGCGTCTACAGCCTGGCCCCCTTCGCCCCTCACCTTCCCTGGCTGGGACTCCCCCCCAGCCCCCTATGCTCTGGCTGGCTCCCCAGGATTCAGGCCTCAGGGGCCCCTCCTCAGAGCCCAAGGGGAATCCTGGAATCGTCACACGCTCAATTCCTGCCAGCAGCGCACAGACGCCTTCTCGCTTGTTGGCTGTTAGATTTAGGTCGCTACGCCGTGGACTACAGAACCGTGCGTGTCCACGGTGACGGAATCTCACCATGTACAACACTGTAATGGTAATGAACGCCTCATGTCAGATGCTCAGAGGTGGCCTCAATATAGTCACCACAGGCAAGTGGTCTGAACAAGATGTCAGTGTGCAAAATGACATCGCCCATCAGGAAGCTGCTTGTGGCACTTGAGGCCTTGACTCACTCAGCCCCACCTGGCCACTCGTTTGAGGCCACACCTCTCGCTGTCTGACGCTGTGACCCACTGCCCCGGGGCCACGCCATTCCAGGTCCCCACTGTGGCCCCCTGGGCAGGCATCTCCAGATTTCTCTAGCAACAGAGCTGAGTTTCACGTGACCGGATTGAGCTCTTTACTCCAGAAGGGGCTGGGGATGTTTTCATGCCACTGCACAACGTTCTGCTTATTTCACTTAGATGACAGTCAGCTGCCCGTGTGATCAAAAATGACAAGCCCAGTTAATGACTTGTTTGGACTATTTCACTCACCATTCATGTACCGTCTCAAAGGATATGCGCATATTTTAAGCCACACAACTGGGCATGTGAAGGAAAGAAACAGCACTGTCTAATCAGGTTTCTTGTTTCCCAGCCATAGGCGGCGGCTGAGACCATGCTAGACCATGCTCGAGACGGAGGAAGCCTGCGGTGGCCCAGCCATCGTGAGCTCCACAGGAGCGAGGGATTCATAAGCATGGGGCCCCACCACCACTCACACCCTGCCTAAGGCAGCAGTGAGGGGGGGCACACACGGGGGAGAAACACTCGCCGCCCACCTATTGTATAAAGGGAACCAGGCAAGCACTTTTAAAAATGTTTCTTTACGGATGAATTTTTAAATTAAGAGTTGGTGGAGAGGGGTTTCAGAGTTCAGGCCTTCATCAGCTGGCCCCAGAAGCACTCTATTCTGACACTGCTGTTGAGCCACGCCCCAGCAGAACCAAACCCTGCCCTGTCCTGCGACCCCGTCGTGGACCAGACGGCTGTGAGCCACAGGGCGTTCCTTCACAGGCTGGCATCGGTAGACTGCCAGGCCTTTCTTCCTGGTACCCTGTCGGAAGCTCAGTGGGAATTGGCTGAGCCTCCCAGCACGTACAAACCGCCCTGGGAGAGGACTGTGCATGCAGGGCATGACTGGGAATGGTGCTGGGGATCTTCCCTGGAAGGTGAGCATCCTACCTCTGCACCAGCCGTGCCTCATTCAATGTGTGTGCACGAATGACCCCATTTCCTCTTTGCACTAGCTGTAGGGGGGTGGGCGCCAGGAACCCTGTTTCACAGATGATGGGGCAGGTGAAGGAGGAGGGTCTTTGCCCTTGGTCACAAGGGGAGTGTCCTGCCCTGGCTTTGCCATCTGCAGCCAGGCCACCTGTGTGGGCAGGAACATCTTCAGCCCAGACTTTAGTCAAAAGTGTTTCTGGGTTGGCGGTAGCATATGCAAATCCTCCTTGAAGGAAAACAACTCCAAACCAGCCTCCAGGAATGTTCACGATGTGTCAAGGGAAGGAAATAATCAAGTCACAGTTCTAAAAGAGAGGAGAAAATCACGATATCCAAGGAATGAGCCGGAACCAGCCAACCAGAACCAGGTTCACAAAGGCGTCAGGTCGTCAGGTCGGGGGCTGCGTAGGCACTGGGCTTGAGAACCACCTCTCAGAAGGAGGAGCCTAGGAGTGAGTATGAATGAGGAGGATAGCAGATGACCAAGGATGACTAAGCAAGCAGATTTTTCAAAAGAACCATACAGAAGAATTGAAATCGAGATGCTTTAATATCAGCCGGGGGTGGGGAGGGGGGGTACATTATGAGTCGAAACCAACTCAACTCAATGGCAACTAATGACAACAACAATACTTAATCAGAATGTCCAGAAGGATACAGTAGAAAGAATAGGATGAAGCAATGCTTCAAGAGATGATAAAAATGTCCACTTTCTCCAAACTGATTTATAAATTCAATGCGGTTCCAATAAAATTCCTAACTGGGAGTCTCAGTTTTGCTTTGTTCTTCAAGGAACTTGGCAAGCTGATTCTAAAATCAGAGGACAGAGATATTCCGAGAGAAGAATGAGGTGGGAGGATTTGCAAGCCAGTGATCAATACTAATTATGCAGCTGGAGCACTAGAACTAGAGAGAGCCCTAGTGGCACCATGGGGTGTGAATTGTTAACTGCAAGGTGAGCAGTTCAAAACCACCAGCAGCTCCGCAGGATGAAAATGAGGCTTTCTACTCCTGTAAAGAGTTACAGTGTTGGAAATCCAGAGAGGCAGTTCTACCCTGTCCGAGCAAGTCTCCCTGAGCCCAAGAGGACCCGAGGGCAGTGAATGCTAGAACCACCCAGCACAGCGGTTCTCAGCTTGTAGGTCGAGACCCCTTTGAGGGTCGAACTGCCCTTTCTCAGGGGTCCCCCAATTCATAACAGTAGCAAAATGAGTTATGAAGTAGAAACAAAAATAATTTTATGGCTGGGGAGTCACTCCAATATGAGCAACTGTATTAAAGGTGGCGGCATCAGGAAGGCTGAGAACCACTGACCCAGCAGGTGTCTCCAACGTAGTTCTAACTTCCGCGATCCCACCTGTGTCAGAGTGGAAGCGTGCTCCGTGCCTGATTTCTGGAAGTAGGTTGCCAGGCCTATCTTCCAAGGTGCCTCTGAGCAGACTCCGACCTCCAACTTCTCTGTCAGTCGCCGAGCGTGATAGCTGTTTGCATCATCCAGGGTCACAGCTAGAGAAGTGGGCCAGTGGGATGGAACAGAGCCCAGCAATAGAAGCAGGCGTGTGTGGAAACATGCTCCAGTCAAGTGAAAAAGGACATCGCAGGTAGAGCTGATAACTGGAGTTGGTTAGGACTACAGATTTTCCACACAGAACCCTACCTCACGCCAGCCACAAAAGTCACAACCAGACAGATCAGTGAGGTGCGAAAGAGGCGATACTGGAGAAATTAGGGGTGGGGGGCAGTTTTCTTCGAGGTGCTTTTTAAAAAACAAACAGATGTCTGCCCGCCCTGGGGGTGTCTTATCAAGGAAGTAGTTCCACTTCATGATCCCTGGGTTAACTTTCTCTTGACTCCTAGTATGGGGTCTTTTGCCTCAGGATCACAGCTATTCCACAAAGACGCCCTCAGGAACCTCCTTCTAATTAATGACCCCAGACGCCTGGGTGCTTCTAGCTTTATGTGCTGACCCCTGTAAATTGTCCCACTGCCTTCTGCCCTCTTACTGCTCCCCCACCCTCCCATCTGCTGTTCCTAGCACGGGAGAGGCCAGGCCCGTGTGACACCTGAGCTGTGACTGTGTATATGCCTCTGGCTCCCTCCAGAGAGGACCAGGGAACTCATCTGCACAAAGAACAGAGCCCCCTGGTGTCACCTTTCCCAAGGCCACCTTGGGAGGCCACAGGTGTCCCTGAAGGATGTTCCTCACCTCCACACACAGGAGCATGGTTTCCTGTCAGGTGCACATGCCTCACCCAGCCACCAAAAACTCAGTATCACAGAGACCCTAGAGGGTTTCTGGGCGATAAATCTTCATGGGAGCAGACAGCCTCGTCCTTCTCCCGAGGGGCAGCTGGTAGACTTGAACTGTCGACTGTGCAGTTAGCAATCTAATGCTTCTTCCCGACAGCCCCACCAGAGCTCCTACTCAGCCACAGGGGGCACAAGACAAGTGAAGCTCTCCAAGAATTAGCAGCATCTGTAGTGACCAGGATGCAAGTGGATTTTTACACTTCCCACCCTCCGCAAAAGGCCTTTTGGGCTGAAAATATTAGAATAGTAGTTGGTAGTTAGTAGTGATGGGCGTAGCAGACAGCGCTGGGAGCCTCCTCACCTACATCTTGCCACTGCCTCTCACAGCCGGCAGAGGGCAGCTGCAGCACCACCTCTGCTCTGGGAGGGTTGTTGGCGCTTCTTCATCGGGGAGGCAAATACGACATAAACATATCTCCAGGCTCAAGGCTAGCAGCTATCAGAGATGGGACGCTGGGGCTTACAGTCTGAGGCTCAGAGTCAGACACAAACATGAAAGAGAGCTTTTCATCCAAGCACAGAAGCAAGCTGATGCTGAACATTGTAATTCCATTTGGTTTTAGGACATACAGGTACCTTGTAGCCCCAGTGGTGTAGTGATTACAGGATGGGCTGCTAACCTCAAGATCAGCAGTTCAAAGCCACCGGCTGCTGGGTGGGGGGCAGGCAGGGCTTTCTACTCCTGCAAAGAGTAGAAACCTCATAGGGGTCACCATGAGTCGGAATTGACTCTAAGCGAGGGCAGGGTGTTTGGTGGTTGGAGGAATAAAAAATATCCGGTGGTGAAAGGGTGTTGGTGGGTGCTGGTGAGCGGATTCCAGGCATTTCCCAGACTGCGCTCCTTCAGAAAGCAGGCGCCAGGTCTTTCTCCCCAGAGCCCCTGGGAAGGTTCAAACCTAGGCTTCCCAACGGCGGCCAAGCAGTCAACCATGGTGCCACCAAGACGAGGCTCTCCGGAGTGCTGCCCACACTGGCACACACCTTCAGAAGGGCCTTCGAAAAATGGCTCCAAAAAGCTTCTTGAAGTGAGGGAGCAAGCCTTTGAGCTCAAGAATCTGGTAACCTCAGAATTTCGTCCAAGGAAGTAATTACAAGTGTGGGGCAAAGGCTTATCGATAAAGTTGTTTAACTTCCTGCGATTTTTAATGGGGCGGGGGTGGGGAGGACGGGGACCTGAGACCCCCTGAGTGCACACCAGCAGGAGCAAG